GTGAGCTCTGTCCATTTTGATTTTTTTTTTAATGTTTTATTTATTTCTGAGAGAGAGAGAGAGAGAGACAGCGTGAGCAGGGGAGGATCAGAGAGAGAGGGAGACACAGAATCTGAAGCAGGCTCCAGGCTCTGAGCTAGCTGTCAACACAGAGCCCGACGTGGGGCTCGAACCCACGACCGTGAGGTCATGACCTGAGCCGAAGTCAGACGCTGAATCAACTGAGCCCCCAGGCACCCCGAGTGCTATCCGTTTTGGACTGAGTCTCAGCACAGCACGTGGGAGCCGGGGTTGGGGGGATTGGCGTTCATTACCCTGATGGGCTACAGGAACAGAGACTTGGAGCCAGCTCCTTGCAGAGCTGCCTGGGGCCACACCGGGCGCTTCCTTAACCCGCCCAGCCATGCCAGAGGTGGGAGGCCACCCAGGACTATGGGGGATCCAGGGGGTCTCACCTGTGCCCAGCTCAGGAAGGAGGGTGGGCCTGTGGGCAGGGAAGGACCTCCCGCGCCTTCCAACCAGGTCCCAAAGGAGCTGCCACAGTGCCCAGAACAGGCGGCCTCCATGGGCGCTTCGGGGATGAATCCTGGCTGCAGTGTATCTTGCCCACCTCCTGCAGATTCCCGGGGATTCCCGGGGCTTCCCGGAACTGCCCAGCGCCCCCAGGATGCCCATGCTCAGCCTAGGCTCCGCCACAGGAAGTCAGTCTTCCCACCGTTGCTGTGTGATCTGTGTGCCGACGGGATGTCCAGGGAGGCCGGTTTTGGCCCATTGACACAAGAAGGTGGCCCCGTGAGGCAGTGAGCTCCCTGTCACGGCATTGCTGAAACGGGGTCACCAGCCTTAGCAAAAGGTGGCTGTTCGACCAGACAGTGGACTGTGTGTCAGGGCCCCCGTGAGCCTGGAAGCCCCACCCACTTGCCCCTCTCACACAACATGGCCTCAGGGTCTCAGCTCAAGTCCCACTTCCCCAGGGTCTGGGTCTCCTTGTGTGCTGTTGACCAGGCCTGCCCCTCGCCGCCACAGCAGGGCCTGCACTCTGCTCTCCTCCGCCCCTCACTGTGTCTGGCGAGTACTCAGGGCAGGGGTGGGGAGGACGTGTGCAAGTGCGTGAACGAGCGATGTGTGAACGGATGAACGGATGAGTGAGCGAATGAACGTGTGAGTGAACAGGTGAGTGTGAACGGGCAGGGAAGCAAGCAAGTGGGTGAGTGGGTGGGCTAGCGAGCAGGCAGGGGGGTGAGTGAGCAGACAGGTCAGGTGGGTGGGCAGGCAGGCCGTGGACTGGTTTGCACACATGGCTGCCTGAGGGGTTGCTGGACTCTGGAAGGCGCTGCTGGGGCAGGCCTGACCACCGCCACCAGCCGGCTCTGGGCCTGGCCCCCCGGGACCTCAAGGGGTCACCTGGGTGATGGCGGGGGCAGAGATGGAGCCCAGTCACCGAGGGCCACTGCAGACGTGGGTGATTTAGCGTCGTGATTATTTCCTAATGCAATACCTCAGAGCTTCTTATTAGATTTCCCCCTTTTCCTTCCAAATGCTCTTTGGAAATAAACACCTGGGGCTGTTATACTTTGTACCGCTCAGTTTAATTAACTTTTAAATCACATCGTGTCACCCGGACTGCTCTCAAATGTCGGCTCCTAGCTGGGCCCGGGCGGCCCTGCCGTCCTGCCCCCACTGGTGCCCTGGGAGCCCCCAGAGCCCAGGCCACAGCCCTGGGCCCCTGCCCACCTCCCCACCAGGGGTTCTAGGCAGGGGTACCTCCCGGGCCAGTGGATGTGGGGCATCGCTGCAGCACGGGGGTGGTGTCCATCCACAGCCCAGATACTAGAAGACCAGCCGGGGAGGTTTCCCAGAGCAGGTGCCAGCTCCGCCCTCCAGGCATCGTGGGGCCTCACTCCATCCATGCCTGGCCATCTTCCTTCCTGACACCCTTGCGCACCCCCGGAGGTCCACCTACACCCACTGACCTGTCTGCCTCTGTTACCCGGGTGCAGATTTGCTGTGAACCCCAGGAACATCCGTGTGTGCTGAGGAGCATTTGGGGGGGCGCCTCTCCTCACGCAGGGCCTGCCCAGCCTTTTGTCCCGGCGCCACTTGCTGGTCTAGCTGCGTTTGGTAATTTGTGACTTTCCAGGAAATCATCTGTTTTCTTCAAGCTTTCAAATCAGCAGTCTTACCCTGGAGCACTTTGAAAACATGGGCCTCGCACGAGCGATCCGGCGTGGTGGCAGCCGAGGTGGTGGTGGCACTTGGCGGGCACTTCCCCGTGCCGGCTCTGACGTCCACGAGGTAGGCGCCAGCCCCCCGGCTCCCCACCTGTGGGCTGCCCTGCTCCGTGCGGTGGGCGCCTCCGGAGGCCGTCCAGTGCGGCCAGTCCTGGTCTGGGATACACACGCCGGACACAGTGCACATGCATACACTGTACACATGTGAAGCACGTGCACGGATGCTGTGTGCACACATGCTCAGCACACACGCGCTTACAGGTAGGACAGAGGAACATGGTGTCACTGCCCTTGTGTGTTTCCCAGCAATGGGGTGATGGGTGACTGGCTTTCCTCTCCGTGTTTTTCTGGAGTGCCCGATCATGACAAGTGAGCAGTATTTTGTGTTGCAGGCGGCATCAGCAGTGGCTGTCCTTGCTGGACCCAGGGTCAAGTAAACTCTTCCTCCTTCCCTGACCCGAACGGGCCTGGCCTCAGGTCTCTGCTGCTGTCCATGGAGCACACGGCCCGTGTCGGGGCCGGGCCAGGGTCTCCCGAACACCTGTGTACCTCCCCACCTCCCCTCGCCTCCCACCTCCCCTCCCCCCACCATGACAGCATAGCCATGAGCGGTAACTGGCCTTAGCCTCGGAGGAGCGTGGGGCAGAGCAGGTTTCCAAAATTTCTGGAAACTCCCAATTTTTACGTTAGATCCCTTAAAACACTGCCTCATGTTTCTAAACTGCCCTCCGGATCCAGACACACAGAGCAAGTTCCAGCCCACAAGCCCCTTGTCTGGGGCTACCAGCTGGCTGTTTGCACCTGCCATGCGTCTGGGGCATCTGTATCACCCAGGCAGGTGGTGTCCGGTCACCAGGCCGGTGGGAGCTGAGCGGCCAGGCACGAACCACTTGCTCGTCCCACCCTGTCCTTCGTCCCTGACAGTTGGGAGACAAGCAGCTGCTGGGAAGAGAGGGGGGCACATGTCACAGAAACCCCAGGCTACCAGGCCTGGGGTGTGGTGTCCCTCGTGACTGAGCCCAGCCGCTGGCACGGGCCACCAGGTGTGGGCGCTGGAGGAGTTCGTCAGGAATATATGTCACGTCCTGGGCAGGAGGCACATAGAAGGGGTCAGATGTGGCCCCCGCCCTCCTGACAGAGCAGACCCAGTTCTCCGCCTAGCAAGTGCCGTCCTGCTCTGGGGCTTCAGAGGGCATGGGCCCTGGCTGCGGGGACCCTGGCCGACTGCCCTGTGCCAGAGGCCGGGTGGGGGTGGGGGGTGGGGGGGTGCTGTTCATGAGCGCTGCTGCTTCAGGACAGCAACTGTGACCACCCACCCACACGTGGTTGGCAGGGGTGTGGGCCCTCTAGACCCTCCCGAGCACGATTGGGTGTGCCCTGAGAGAAATCCGGTGCTTGCCCAGCAGAACAGGACAGGCCTCTGTGGGCACCGATGTGCACTCTTCACACCCCCTCAGAGAGGGATGATTTCCCTTTCCCAGGACAGGCAGGGAAATCATTTCCGAAATTAACTCACAGGAAGCTACCTGCCGGATGTGAGCAGATGACTTGTATTCCGTTCTTGGGGCCGAGGAGCACGTAGCTACAGATAGGTTTTAAAATTTCTTCTTCAAATGAATGTGGTCAATGAAAATGCAGAGTTATCAGCAGGACGCGGTATCTATTGCAGGATGAAAAAAATCCCGTAATACAATTCCCTCCCCATGAAGCGGCTCGGAAAGCAAATAGCAGCTCCGTGCCGGCTGAGGTGCTCGGGAGACGAGATGGAATACGCACGTCACACGCTTTGCACACGCAGATTGCATCGGTCTGAGCATTATTTGCAAAGAATGAAGGACTTCCTTCCTCTAGCTTTAGTGTCCTTGGGCGGGGGTCTGAGGGAGGGAAGCCACGTGTGCCCCGTGTACTTGGCCACAGGGTGAGGGGCAGGCCTGCTCAGGTGTAGAGTGACACAGGTGCGCACAGCATCTCTGCCCTGAGGGCTGGGCTGCGGCAGGGGGAGCCTGGGACCCCGTGCTTCTAGCTGGGTCTTTGTCCTGGGGGGGTGGAGGGGGCAGAGGGGCAAGCCCTTGGTCCTGGGGACAGCCACGTCCTGTCCTGTCCTGAGTCCTCTCCATGCTCTGTTGGCCCCGAATCGCCTGTCAACTTGGGGACACCTTGGGTGCACATGACTCTGGTTTGATTGGCATCCTTGGGTCTTGGTGCTCTCTTGCGATGAGACGCTGCCCCACAAGGGTGCACTGCACCTCACCCTGGCCACACCCAGCTTTCACCCAGACTCTTGTTTCTCTTCTGGAGCTGGGGGCCAGGGCCAGGGTGAGAATGGGGTGGCTCCATGCTCCCTGGAGCGTGGATAGAGGGCCTGGAGACCGGCTGTGCCCCCTTGCAGTCTGTCCCCTGCTCCCAAGGCACAGCCACCATTTAGCCACCCTGATAGCGCTGGTTGGTGATGCCTTGGAATGGGCGCCCCCAGAGTCCAGCCACAGGGAGAGGCCCCAGGCCGCCATTCGTAGCAAGGCTTAGCGTGTCCTCGCTATTCTGTGGTCGCCCAGTCCCTGCAGAGTGAGCCAGGCCGGGCAGCCAACGTGGCTTTGTGCCCCTGGCCCAAGGTGGTCACTTCCCCCGGCCCGGGGCTGGCTGCCTGGCTGGTGCGCACACCCAGGGACTCAAGCTCAGAGAGGCAAGCGAGAGTCCACGTTTGCCATGCTGGTCTGCGCACTCCATTCTAGAACCAGAGGAAGATGGGCCAGTCGGTTGGGTTCTGGGCCATTATTTTTGAGTTGCTGACTTCGTGGCCCCCAGATGCCGAAGGAGCCTGGAGGGGCAGCCTACCCGGCCAAGGTCAGAGCTGCGGCCACCCCTGCGTCAATATTCCAGGCACACTGTGCTGGATCAGGCTGTGCTTCGGAGCATGAGTCCCTGCCTCCCACGGGCCGGGAATAAACAGCAGGCCTCCCAACCCCAGCCAGCACTCTGCCCAGTGGCCAGCCGGTCTGCAGGGAGGGGGCATGGGAAGCAGGAGACCCCTGAGCCCGGGTCCTCATGCCCTGTGGTCAGCCCCCACAGCCCACCTGGGCAGTGCCCATAATGGTAGCAGACAATCCACACCCCCGGGCAGTGCCCATGCCCAGCTAGAATGCAACGAGCCCTTGGCATCACTAGGTCCCCTCCCCCGTCATCCTGCCCCACGGGCTCTCGATGGAAGTAACAGTGACCCTGGCTCTCTGGCTGTGCATCATGACAGCGGCACGGGGATGGCCATGCCGCCCCCCTGTCCACAGCAGAGGGCCCCAGCCTGGGGAGGTAGTCCTGGCCAGCTCCCAGCCCCTCACCTTCAGTGCATGCACTCCCCACCCAGGCCCAAAGAGAAGATGGGGTCAGACTTTGGGAGCCTCTACCCAGTACATGCTGAATCCTATGAGGTCATTGCAGGGGCAGCCCAGGGCCCCTGTGTCATCCTGGCCCCTCCCTCTGCCTCCAGGCAAAGGGAAGTGTGAGGGGAGGTGTCGGTCCCCAGCATAAGAAGGAGGTCTCACGTGTGGCAGCCCTGAGCTCAGCTCCCCCCTGCCCCTGCAGCACCCCCTCCCCTCCACAGGCCCCCCTGCCCTCCCGCACAGCCGTGGACCAGCTCTCCTCGGGGCCTGCCTGTTGGGCGCCCTTTTGTCTCCTGCTGGATTCCCTCCCCGCAACCCTCGGGCTCAGGTCTGCTCTGTGCTGAGGTCACCCTGCAGGCCACAGAGGGTCCTGATAGAGTACACACCGTCACTGTGTCCCAGAGTGCGTGACGGCCCAGCCTGCAATGGGAGGCACACGGCCCCGTGACAGGATGTGACCAGAGCCAGGCCGGCAGGGACGAGGCGCGGGGACACCAGCCCAGGTGCACCCAGAGTTGCTGGTTCTGTTTCGTCGCCTTTTCAACCATAGTAAGATGGTGCCGATTCACATGAATCTCCTGGTGAGGCTTCGGCTCACCCGTCAAGAGCCTCCTTCCCATCGGGCACATGTGCTTGCAGAGACCAGACTTCGGCCTGTCCTGCTGCCACGGAGCCTGTCCCGGGGGAGGGGGTCTCACAGCCCACACCGTGCGCCGGCGGACAGCTCTTCCGGGAGCAAGGTGTCGTCAGACACTGGTCCTGACCAGACCTGCCCCTTTGAAAATGAGAAAGTGCCTGAATCGACGCCCTGGCTTTGGTGTTGACTCCTTCTCGTGGAGGCGGACAAGGCCGGTAGGAGCCAGGCGCCTTGGCAATGAGGTGTTTTAATTGCATCTTAAAATAAGATTGCAAGAAAGAACACCGAACCATAACTAACCGATTGTATCTAAGGTCGGCCTGGCACAGTCAGCCAGCCAGGCCTGTAGGTCTGCCCGCTCGGCGAGCTGTGGCCCTCAGCGAGGGTGCCAGAGATGGTGCCCTCCTGGAGCCTTCCAGGTGCACCCCCGCCTCCCGCAGCAGGCTCTGCCCGGCGCTTGGGAGCAGAGGAGGTTGTGGCTCTGCTCAGTTGACATGTCACCCATCAGAGAACCTGTGGGTTCTGCAAAAGCAGGAGGGAGGGACGTGCCGTCCCGCAGGGCTCACAGCCAGGCAGAGGGTCCTGGCAGAGGGTGACCGCTCTTCCAGCTGCTCTGCCTGCCAGTGAGGTTCCCGGGCTCCATGTGTGCTCCTGAGCATGAGGATGGGAAGCCAGGGCCATGGACCTGCCTGGCGGGCTTGCCAGGACCTCTTCTCGGCTTAGGGTTCCAGCAAGCAGCCCCTCTCAGGGGAGCTTCCCTTCAGCCACAGGCAGGCAGACGTGCACGCAGCCTTGAGATAGCCCTCAGCCTCTGCTCATCTCCCCTGGGCAGGGGGGCGAGGAGGGGAGCAGAACCCCAGGCCAAGAAGGGCAGGGGGCAAGTGGTAGGTGCTCGGCAGGTGTCTGAAGAGAGACTGGCTCAGGGCCCCAGGAAAGGGAGGTGGAGGAGGTGGGCAGTCTGTCGTCAGCAGGGCCGGGCCCTCCTAGGAGGCTCCAGGAGACCATCAGCCATGGAGCAGCCCCCCCCACCCCCCACCAGTGCTGGGTCCCAGGATTCCTGCCTGGTTCCTTTCCACCATGATTCTGTATGGGGGCTCCTGAGGGTGGAGCAGAGCCTGAGCCCCTTGCTGGGACTGCTGGGGGCTGCAATCCTGGAGACGTGGCCTCGGGATTCCCGGGCTAGAGCCTTGGGAGCCGTGGGTGGCCTTACAGGCCACGGGGGCTGCGGCCGCGCACAAGCCTGGAGCACCGGTCGGAAGGGCCGGGTGTGACATGTGGAATGTGGTGCATCTTCCTCTCTTGCTTAATTACCGGCATGGCAGTTGCAGAGTTGAAATGCGGCTTAAAAAGCCTTTGTGAGTAATTAGTGTCAAAAACACAAGATCTACAAAGCCATAAACTCACAGCTTGGTGATATTACCAAGTACTAATTAAAAAAGAAAAAAGAAAATTTCCTTTCATGATCAGATTTTCAGTCTTGCCAAAGATGAAAAACAAGGCAATTTGCAGATGATACCAACGCCAGAGGGGTGAGTGGGGTAGTTGGCACCGAGATGGTGGCAGAAATGTGAGGGCTAGGGACCCTGGGACATCGTGGGGCCCGGCTCCCCAAGGCCTCAGTCAGGAATGCCTGCAGTGCCCAGCAGGGACAGAGAACCTCGAGTCAGGGACAGTCACAGGCCTGAGAGGTGGGGCCTTGTCCCCCAGCGGGACCCTGCGCGGAAGCCGCAGCCCCTTGTTGCGGGGGGTGGGAGGGGTCCTGGGTCACACCTGGACTTCATATGCCCTAGATCCAGGTTGCCCAGCCCCTCCAAGCCTCCCAACAGCCTCTCTGCTCAGGACCCCCTCAAAGGAGGAGCATCTCACAAGGGTGGGGGGGAGAGGGGCCTGTGCCTCGCGGAGCCACCGTATTTGCTTCTCGACACAGACAGCATGGACTCTGGTCACCAGAATGGAGGCTCATTTAATGTGCGATACTCACGGCCGCAGGAGAGTGAGGGCCCAGCAGTGGATTCGCCTCAGGCGGTGAATGGCTTCCCTCCGTGCTGCTTGGGCCTGTGGCCTCCACATGCCAGCCGGGTGAGCAGCAAGGCCCCATGCACAGCACGTCCAGCTGCTCTTCACGTCAGCGTGACTGTGGAGACTGAACTTTCTGGAAGTCATATCCATCCATCACAGGGATGTTTTTAACCAGAATTAGCAAGATGTGCCTGGTGCACAGCATGTGACCGCACCAGCGGCACCCAGGCACCTGGGCCACCAGCCACACGAGGCCAGCCACCTGTGAAGTGCGGGTTTACAGGAGCGGCCCAGCCCTCGAAGGCGAGATGCTGCAGGCTCGGCCAGTGGTGATGTCCAAGATCCAGATGGTGCTGCAGACACTCCAGGCCAACCCCCGGCCAGGTGCCTCCCCATCGTCTGGCCTCAGTGTCCTCTGGACTGGCCTCTCCTTACAGTCAGGCCAGGGACTCGGGCCTCAGGCCCAGGGGTAGGACCTAGAGGAGGTGTGGGCCCTGATGGCCGAGGGAGGCAGCCTGGGCCAGGCGGGAAAGATTCCCCCTCTCACCCAGGTTGCGCTGTCGATGGCACAAGACCGAATGTTTACGACCCTCAGCATCCACACCCTCAGCGGCTGGCTCACTGCGCTGTAGGACCCGGTATGGAGACGGCGGAACGCTTTCTCCCAAGGTCACAGGGGTGCAGAGGAGCCAAGAAGTCCCTGCGGAGTGGCTGGGAGCAGGGAGGGCGCTTCCCGAGGCAGAACCGTGGTGCGGGCATCTGTGCGCCAGGATCCGGCGTTGCCACGACGGCCTCCTCCCTCAAAGCTGTTGGCAGTACTGGCCGTTTGTGTGCCCTTGTGTCAGGCTCCTGTTGTCCGCGTGCATGGCACACATCTGCCCCGGCTCTGTCTAGGGGTGCACCGAGCTCCCGGGTCATCATAGCAATGCGGGGTTGACCCCCAGTGGTTTCTCTCCGTGCTGTCGCTTCCTTTGATCAGGTGCACCCCTGAGTGTTTCGTGTTTGGACGCTGTCAGAAAGGGTATTGCTTTTTAACTTCTATTCTCTTCTTGTTGCTAACGTAGAAAAGCAGTTCATTCTGGTGTATTGATCTTTTATTTTGCAACCTCACCAACCTCACGTGTCAGTCTTGGGGGCTGCAGTATATATTGGATTTTTGGCCTGGGCCCTGATGTCCGTGAGGGAGGACACATGCCCTCTGCCTGTCCACATGGGCTGCTGTCGTTGCTCCTCCTCACCTTCTTTCCCAGCCAGAGACTCCAGAATGATGCTGAGCAAACTGGCAAGCGTGAGCATCTGCTCCTGCAGGGGAGGGAGTGCAGTCGCTCTTGGGCCATCGAGTGCAGCGTGAGTGCGGGCTATTTGCAGGTGCCATGGGTATGGCAGGAAGACCCTCCTGGTCTGAGAGTCACATAGCCCTTCCTCTTCCTTGGAAAGCATCTAACTACCATGATGTTCTTAACAGAATACCTGTTAGGTCCTGCGTCCCTTGGACAGACCCTGCTTGGTCAGGACGTGTCCTCCTTCGTGTGTGGTGCTGGGACACGTGGCCGGCTGGTTCAGGGTCCCTGCTCTGTAGTTCGGGGGCTCCCTCCTGACGTCACTGCCTGGCGCTGGTAGCACAGTGGGCTTGGAGCGTTTCATCCTCATCGGGGGTCTTAGAGTTGATGTCAGGCTGGTGATTCTTCCTCAAGTGTTGGGTGGGACTCAGGGAGCACCCCCAGCCCGGGAAAGCCTGCGAGAGAAGGTGTTCCGTGGCGGGTGCAGAACTCGGTGGGTTTAGCCTTCCTTTGCACTGAGCTCAGCAAGATTATGTATTTCAGACAGTTGATCTGTTTCATCTGAGTTGTCAGACTTACCGACACGAGGCTGCTGGTAATGTGCCGACATCCAGTGACTGCCATCCCCTACGCCCCGCCTGTCGTCTCCTGCCCTTCATTCCTAAGCATTCTGGCCCGAGTGCATCCACCTTGTTCATCTCTGCAGACCACTGTGGGTTGTGTTTTTCTCTTGCTTTCCTGCTTCGTAGTTCACTGATTTCTGCTTTGATCTTTGTTTCCTTTCTTGTGCATACATTGGGTCTAAGTCACCCTTTTGATTTCAGCTTTCTTGAAGTGGACATTGAAGTCAGTGATCTGAGCCCTTTCTTTTCTTCTCCCCTAGATGTTAGCGCTAAAAATTGCCCCAAGTTCTGCCTGCGTCTCTCTACAAATTCAGATTATTGTGTTTTCATCTTCATTTAGTTGAAGTGGCTTAGTAATTTCCCTTTTGGTTTCTTCTTTGACCCCGGGGTTACTGACAGGTGGGTTACCAAGTCCCCAGGTGTTGTGACAGTCTCCAGCTATCTGTCACTTGGTTCTGCCTGAATTTCACTCTGGTCAGAGAACACGCTCTGTGTGACGTGAATCCATTTAAGTTTGTCAGGACGTGCTGTGGAGCCCAGAAGGCTGTCTGTCTAGGTGAATGCTGTGTGTCCTGCCGGATCGCATGCTGTAAACATTGGTTCTGTCGGGATCTTTGAGGATATTGTCAAACCTCCCACCTTCTCTCTATCAGAATCTCACCGATTTCTATCTTTGCTGTCAATTAAAGAGAGACAAGTGTTGAAATCTCTGGCTTTAATTCTGGATTTGTCAGTGCCTTCTCGTATTTCTGTCATTTTTTTTATTTCCTGTGTAAATTAGCCCCGTTACCGTTCCAAAAGCACCCTCAACCCAAGTGACCATCATTGCTCTGAAACCCACCTCGTCTGATGTCCCCCTGGCCGGTGCAGTTCTGATTTCCGTGAGCGCAGCCCAGCTTTCTCATCCTTTACTTTGAGGCTACTGTGTCCTCACGTTTATGGGGTGTTTCTTACGAGCCACGTGTTCCAGGGGCCTTGCATCGTGTCCGGTCTGAGAGCCCCCGCCTCCTCACTGGGGTCGCACCATTACCCCGTCTGCCACTCTGACCGGGTTGGAACCTGTCTGCGCGACGTGTCTGGCCTGTCTTGTTCCTGGAACCTGTTTCTCTGCCTTCCTCTGGATCATTCCATTGGAACATTCTGTGCAAGTCGGTTCGTCTCTGTCTTTGACTTACTGTCCATGATCCTTTGGGCTGTTTTACGGGTCATTGCAGGACTCGCGTGCCTACCCCCATGGCCTTCTCG